AGCAGGGAAAGAGTCTGGTACTCACTGAGAGTATCCGGGTCCTGGTTTCCATTATTGATGCTAGTAGTAGTATACATCATCATATGTCTAAGCAAGGTAAGAGTCTGGTACTCACTGAGAGTATCTAAGTTCCATTCTACAATTGCTTCACCATCATATATGGCTGATCCCATAAGGATGTCTCCTTCATGTTGGATGTCAACAGGAGAGGGTCTCGGATAATACATTTTTATAGGAGCTATTGGTCTAGTTTTAATCCCAAATCCTACTTTATTGATTTCAGCAGGCTCAGTGTTAATTGATTATTTAAATATTTACTCCAGAATGTCTATATCTTGTTTAGAACAATCATCAGAAATATCTTCAATCATATTGTCCATAAGTTACTTTTATACTTAGATCATAGAGATGGATTTTATCTTGATCGTTGATGCATGAGAAACTTTTATCCAAGCCACTCATCCATATCTTATCACTAAGAACAATGTATGAGCTACCTTTCACTCCTTAAAATCTAGATTTAAGTCATTTTACCCTGAAGCTCTGAGCTCCATGTTTTATTTCCCATTAAGTCCAAATTCATGTTTACACTTATGCCCATGATTTTTGAATAATTTGTGAGAGTCAATAAAATACAAGGATATGGACATAAAGGTAATATGGGACATCCACACATATGAATAAAATATCTTATGACACTACCAATAAGATTTTAATAACACTAAAGTTTCAAATGGGTCAAGCCCGTAAGGTGGTGCCACATAAGATATACTTACATGCTACAAAATCATGTAGATAATGATATGAATTAAATCAATTCTCAAAATTCCATGACTTCACAAATGTCAAAAATGGCATATAAGAGCAAAAAAAAAAAATTTGTGACTAAATCAAACTTAAGTCATAACAATATATAACACTTTAAAAAACAACATAACATGTTATACCATAATACCAATAAAATAATTAATGACAAATAGGTCCCCACATAAATATGCATTAGCATGATGTCATCCACGAGTGGAGAGGTGGGGGTGTCACTTGGCATCCCTATGACCACTTGGTATCCATGTGGCATCTCCATAAAATGTCTTTGTTTCGTACTTATGTCAAACAAATTTGAAAATCAAATTTTATTGTTTAAAAAAAAACTGAAAAAAAATCTCTCAAAATCCCAAAAATTCTCTAAATAATTTTTCAATATTATTACACAATTTTTCATCAATATAAAATATTTTCTCATCAATTTTAGATTAATATGGGCCAAAGGTAAATGAGATATTTGGACTTATAACCGTAGTCTGAGTCTTCTATTGAGCTAACCTGAATGACGTTCTACTGGTGTCTCATGCCGACTCAATGAACCTATGCTCCACAGTCAATGACAGAGACACATAATTGGTCACATTAAAGTTGCTGAGCCAGAGCTTCCCGTCACCAGGGGTTCAATGCATTACTGGTCCACCCTTGTGGGACATGTTCCTACTTAAATACATGGGTCATCTCAAAGCACATGTGCAATAGCTCTTCTAAGTCGGATAATACTATAGAAGAGTGCCTTCCCCATACGATTGTGGGTGCACATGCCATGGAACGGTATTGTGTTAGGATACGGGCTCATCTCCCATGAGCCGACCATTCTATTCAAAACGAATATTCTTTTAAATACTCGAGTTCTATTATTCTCGATTGGATTCTCCAAGCCCTGACTTATCACATCAACTATGAAGCATTCTAATCAATAATCCTGACTGGGAGGTGACCCTCACACCTCCCTGAGAGTTCACACTCTCAAAACGTATACTCTCAATGCCTCAAATATTCGGAATACATGAATCTAGGCCTTAGTGTGCCAAGGTTAAATATATAGAGAGTTGTGACAGGTGGATTTACTAACTTTGTGGTCTATTTTTTTTTAAAAAATTACTTTTTGTGATATCTTCATCATTAAGTAAGGGCAATTTTATAAATATTACTACAAGATAAGGGGTACTTTTGTCAACTCTATAAAGGGTAAAGTTGAAATTTTTACTAAAAGACAAGAGCACTCTACAAATAAAATTTCAGAATACTAACTTCCAAAATGCGATTGTACTTTTGTAAAAATTTCAAAATTGTTTTTGCTTAATTGTTAAATTACCTATTAAAATAAATTTTTAAACGATATTTACACCCATCACATCCCCTTCTAATTTAACCTTTGCGGTAGATAAACTATATATATATATATATATATATATGGA